AAGTTAGTGTACCGTGTTATTGTTCCTATATTGTGCCTGTTTACCCTCTTTTGCCCTGTTGTCATGGTAAGTTAAAGTTAGTGTACCGTGTTATTATTCCTATATTGTGCCTGTTTACCATCTTTTGCCCTGTTGTCATGGTAAGTTACAGTTAGCATACCGTGTTATTGTTCCTATATTGTGCCTGTTTACCCTCTTTTGCCCTGTTGTCATGGTAAGTTAAAGTTAGTGTACTGTGCTATTGTTCCTATATTGTGCTTGTTTACCCTCTATTGTCCTTTTGTCATGGTAAGTTAAAGTTAGCGTACTGTGTTATTGTTCCTATATTGTGCTTGTTTACCCTCTCTTACCCTGTTGTCATGGTAGTTAAAGTTAGCGTACTGTGCTATTGTTCCTATATTGTGCTTGTTTACCCTCTCTTGCCCTGTTATGGTAAGTTAGGATGGGATTCGGAGCATGTATTAAAGGTGCTGTTACATAGCCAGTGTCCTTTGCAACTTGTCTTACAAGAAATTGCCCAGCATAACATATGAAAAGTATCCCTCAATTTTGTTCTTACATGCGTTACAAGAGCAAATAATATTGGTTGTTTAACCGCACCTTAACACAAATAAGCAAGCAAAAGCACAATAGAATGTTAATTCATGCATTGTTCAGGCATAATACCACACTGCAAAATTTTATATTCTTCTTTTTTAATCTTTATTTCATTGTGTACCCCTTCTGAAGTATTAGATCATACCCCAATACTTATATTAATGTGTTTTGTTACTTCTACAGGGCACATTGTTAACTAAGAGTGGCCAGATATTCAAGCAGCTTAGTCTAAAGATACGTGTGTTTGGCTACCCATCCACCACTCAGTTTGACAGAGATTCATTCTTGCTATTTGTACAAAACACAGATCTTAAGGTAGTTATCTTTTTAAAAGCTAGCTATCCCATTAGCTTCTATTTATTACTGTAGTTTCCAATATTCTGCAAACTCAGACATTATTACTTTTGTTTGACGGCAGCAAGAAAAAAAAATTAGCGTAGTTCTCAACTGCGTACCGAGTTCCCAGAATATCGAAAACCACAGTAAGCTTGATGCCAGTCTCTTAATGCATTTGCCAGTATGCCGTAAACAAGGCGTTGAATATTTTTTGAGTAAATGTACACTGTATCTGCTTTTATCTGTAAAATACTTATCTACTATGAGCTCATTTTCCATGTTCAGAACATCAAGAGGTTTGGTGTTATACTTTGAGTTTCTCATTCATCTCTAAATATCCTAAGATACATTGTAACATCTTGTGATCAGTCTTTAGTATGATGTGTGCGGTTCACTCATTACTCCTAAAACACTGCAATGTATTATCATGGGGAATGTGAAAATGGTCCACGCTGCAAAATTCACCCTTGGGCATGAAAACTATAATAGTGTTAATAATTTCCGAATATTTATCTACAATTCTATTCTTTACTGATTTGTGAACGTATGGTGATAATGACAGGTGTTTTTCTAATCTTGTCTGTTTTCAGCCCAAGTTGTTTGCTATCCCATTGAAGACATCATACATATTTGGATTTGTAACTGTGATTGTGTTTATCTTACTGCTGCTCATGCAGACAAACATTCTGGCCGGCAATAATAAGTACTTGTAGCTGCTATACATAGATATTGCATAATGCAATCACAGAAACGCTAACATTAAGTTGCAAGATGTCCAGTCTATTTCCCATTGCTGTTAGGTTACAAACGCTTCAACCCTTATTAACTGTAGCATGTATCTGTGTGTTGGTACATTCTGATTTTATCAAGGACTTGGTCACACACTACTTTGCATCATCAGGAAACAGCAAGTAACAAAGATACCTGAAACGAGAAATTCAACCATGAATTGTATATACCATAAAAAATGGAAATGAATGAATATGATCTTGGTAAATCGATAAACTAGATTATCAAAATATATACTTTATAAAATGAATGAATATGGTCTTGGTAGATTGATAAACTAGATCATTAAAATAGATACTTTGTTACATAAACATAATTTCACAATTTTTGAGATGATTTGAAAACTGCAAAATTAAAGTGTTGTGAAAATATAATGTGCACGCAAAAAAAAGTGTTGCTCAAATTGACAATCATTAAATACATATTATTAAATAAAGAAAGCAATAATGAAAGGGACTTTTTTACTCAAAGGAATCATTTAATACTGACCTGTTGTATTGAGGGACATCCAATGATTTGCGCATCTTCTTCTGAGTACGTGTTTGTGACTATATCATTCATTTGTTTGTACTGTTCCTGGACTTTGGCCTAAAATACCAATACCAAAAGAAAAAATATTCAAGGTTAAGAAACATTTTTTAAATTTGAGCCTTGCATCCTCGACTGAATGCTTTGTGTTTGATCAGTGAGCCAACATATTGAAAGTGGTGAGTTGAAGAGTCTATAGTCCCATACTCCCTTTTAGTCCAGTAAGGTATACTTGAGCCGGCTGAAGACATTTTTTTGAATTTACATTAGTGCATGACCTAATCCATCCTTGCATTGTCAATGCATTGTCTTGATGAAACCCAAAAAATTAAAGCTCAACAGATGTTTATTTTTCTGATTTAGTTTTAATATACATTACTTGATTTGAAATCGGCCTATTGTAGATGTCAAAACGAGTAAAAACCAGGTAAAGTAAAAAAAGTATTTGTCATATTTTGTCAGTGACTCCAAAGAAGGCTTACCTTAACAGGTTTGAACAATATATATTCTGTATCCTTGTTGGCCAAGAACAGGGACATGCTCTGTAACGTGCTAGGCAGTTTAGACTTGATCAGCATGTACGTTTCGCTCACAACTTTACGCACATTTTCTTTAARTAGAAAAACAAACCATTTTAGTAACAAGCAGATTGAATTAGGTTTTCGTTTCTTTGATCCCACTGCAAAAAGAAACTTAAATTTCATCGAATTCAGCAGAAAAGAATCGAACTGACTCTCAGGAATTACTACTATTCGTTCATGAATCTTACCATTCTAACACATGCTACAATACTGACATATACTGTATGTATTTACCTGGTTTAGCGAACGGTTGCTGCTTTAGGAAAACACTAGGATCCTTGCCATCATCTTCAGCCATCTTCACCACCACATTGATCTGCACAATGAAAAGCGCAACATGAATAGGCATTATTTGCTGCACATATAACAGGCCCCATTAGAAAAATGAGAATATGAATATATCCCGATTAACAGGATGTTGAGAATGAGAAGAAAAACGATCGAGAATGGCTTCCGAGAGCTGAGAAAAATGCACATGGATTGATTGAGCCACTAATGAGTAAACCAGAGTAGTGTCCATCTGTCATATTCGGTAGTCACAAGTGTACTCAAAATAATAGATAATTGTTTACGTTACCTTGGATAACAATCCCGATAAGGGAGAAATGAGAGACTCACAAACATGTTGGATAAACTTCTCACAAACGACACGTAATTCAATGTCAACTTCCTGAAAATGAAAAATAACAGAACAGGTATTGGACGGTCTGAAATAAGAATGATATTTCCACCAACAATTCCAACACCCTGCCTGATGATGTTTGTAACACTGGTAGCGGTTTCAGTTGACTTCAACTACTTATAAGACTAGCCCTACTTTTCTGCTGTTTAGTATGTTTGTATTCTTTAAAGTGCTACTACGACGAAAATCGCTCAAACTTGGATTCAGCTGAAACTTCCTAAGAATACTCTTT